GGGGGGGGGGGGTTCGCGTGCAGCGCTCTATTCCTCGAGGGGGAGGGCCAGGGGGGTTGAGGGCCGGGCGAGGGCGCGCACCGCCGTGCCGAGCCGTGAGGAGGCAGATGGCGGCGTCGAGGGCCATGCGCGTCGCGCAGAGGAAGAGGAGGCACTGCAGCCGGAGCTGGTGCGAGTGCATCCTCCGCATCGGCAGCAGCCGCCACGCCAGCTTGCCGTCCATCACCTCCTTGGTCCGCGAGGCGTTGACCATGATGACGCCTGTAGGGCCACCGGTTGCTAAGACGCAGGGGCCAGCCCCCCGTAGGTAAGGCGCCACTCTCGCTGGGGTGGAAGCGCGGGGGCCCTCGGCGGCGGAAAGGACGGGTGGCTGTGTGGCGGTGCGCGCCGGTGAAGCCGAGCAGCAGCGTCGCCTATGAGGACGCCTTCCGGGAAGCTTCAGGGAGAGGGGTGCCTCGGGGAGGAGAGGAGGCGGAGGAGCAGCGGCCGCCGCGACGGCGCTCACCACCGCATAGGCAACCATCTGCGACGAGCCGAAGGCGGGGAGCCAGAGAGGCCAGCCGGGGTGGCAGCCCGGCCGGATCGCCGCGTCGGGCGCGAGGGCGTCGGCGATCGCCCACGGCGCGGTGAGGACGAGCCCGACCGAGGTGATGAGGAGGAGCCGGCCGAGCCACACCGCGCCGCTCGTCGGGGCGAAGTGGTGCGCACCTCGCTCCTGGAGCAGCGGCGTGCGGAAGGCATCGCCCACGCGGTGCAGCAGCGGGAGGTGCGGCAGCGCCCCGCGCGTCTTGTGCAGCGAGGCGCGCTTGAGGCCCTCGCAGGCGGTGAGGCGGGCGCTCGCCGCGGCGGCGACGATGGATGCGTCCGTCGCCCACCGGAAGAAGGCGGCGCCTACGGGACGCGTCTCGGACATGTCCTGGACGTGTCCTGGACGTGCCCGTCGCCCCCACCCGAAAGAAGGCGGCGCCGGAGAAGAAGAGGGTGCACTCGAGATTGGGGCGGCGGTCGGGGGTGGAGGGCGCATGCACGCTCACCGCAAGCTGGGCGAGCTTGAGGACGACCACCGTTAGCACGTTGTCGAGCGGCTCGTGCCTCCACGCGGGCCTCCAGCCGGTCCAGAGGAGGAGGAGGGTGCAGAGGCAGAGGCCCGCGCGCTGGCACTGGCTCGTTATCTCGTCCTCGACCTGGAGGAGCTGCTCGGCGTGCGGCGTCTTGAAGACGGCCGCCGCGATGAGCAGCAGCGGGAAGCCCACCAGCTTGCCGAGGGCGAGGCCCGCCCCCATCAGCGAACAGAGCTCGGCGTCTGGCTCGTACGGGCTGGCGAAGACAAGCGTCGAGCCGGCGGCGGGGAGGATGTTGAAGGTGAAGGCGAAGTTGGCCGTCTCGCGCGCGGAGCCGGAGGCGTTGACGCCGGCGGCGACGACGACGGGGAGCAGCAGCGACTTGCAGAGGACGGCGACGAGCGGCGTCGCGGCGGAGTGCAGGTGCGAGAGCTCCTGGGGATGATGACGAGCACCGGTGCAGTCGTGAGTCGGGGTTAGGTTAGGGTCGGGATTGTGGGCGGCGGTGGCGGTGCGAGAGCACCGTGAAGGCGCCCACGTTGCTCGCGCCGGAGAGGAAGAGGACGATGGGGGAGAAGGCTTGCCCCAGCAAGCGGCAGAGGCTGTCGAGCGACGGAGGAAGGGAGGCGCCGGTTCCGCCACCAATGGCCAAGTTGTAGACAAGTCCGGCGGCGACGGAGAGCAGGACGACGTTCTTTGTGAGCGAGTGGAGGACGTGCAGCACCACCTCGCCCGTCGGGAGGGGCGTGCGGCCCTCTGGCACATGCCGCGCCTTCCCGACGCCGAGCAGCACGAAGAGGAGCGGGTTGAGCAGCATCAGCTGGATTGAGTTGAGCACAAAGCACATCCCGACCAGCTGCGGAGGGAAGATCGCGCCGAGCACCGGCAATCCGAGGCCGAGGTCGTCCGAGTTGGTCATCAGCAGGCCGAGCACGCCCGCACGGAGCTCCAGCGAGCCTGCCTGCGCAGTGCTCAGCGTGGTCAGGCTCGAGACCGCCAGACTCGCCCCAACCAGGCACAGCTTGCCGGCAAGCAGCGAGCAGCACACCGACAGGTCGACCTGCCCAAAGTCGAGCGCCGCGACAGCGCGCAGGAGGAGCGCCGGCAGGGCAACGGTGCCGGCGAAAGCGCCGATGCCGGCGAGCGCTGTCTGCGATAGCCGCTGACTTCGCTTCATCGCGTACCCAAGCACCTGCACTAGCGTGATGTTTAGCAGCGTGGAGAAGAGCGCCGCGATCGCGTCGATCGTGTCGGGGGATTGCGGAAGCGTGCTCATGTATGTGTTCGTCGCGGCGGTGTCGTGCGTCCTATGAACCCACATACTAGAATAAAAGGACGCCCTCTACTGTGAGATGGGTAAAAAGGAACAGGAACGGTCCCCGCCCTTGCGATCTTTGTGCAGGGTTCTTTGTGGGTGTGGTCGGCGACTAGCCGGGGTCGTCCTCCCGATGGGGGACTAGCACTAGCCGTCTTCCAGTTGGTCCCTCGCGTCGAGGGGTCCCCCTGCTTGCTCCTAATCTCTTCGTACAACGTACATCCTCCTGCTGATCTCCGCAAAGTCCTGGCTCAGGGTTTATTCTCTTTTTTTCGCACGATATTCTCTGCACTCTGTGCTCTTATGCACACCTACACACAGATACCACGCTACAT